TTACACTGACAAGAAGCATTGGATCAGACACACACACATATTGTGGGCCGTGGATGTGAAGGGGCTGTGTTATGGGGCAGAATTACACAACCCATGAAGATAATAAGTAATGACGTCTTATAAAGGTCAACAAACAAAGCACTAGTGGGACAAATACAGGCCCTGTGATGAGATTCATTAGGACAGCATTGAGAGCGTGGAGAGAGAGAAAGAGGGGATGAGGGGATGAGGGGATGGGGAGGGGGCACATTCCTCTGTTGTTTCACAACGGCCGTCACAGCAGCAGCTGAAACAGGTGTGTGTCTTTACTCAGGGCACGGAGGGCAAGGCAAGTGCTATTCTCACATGGTTCAGGCTGGTCACACTTGACCACACTCTGACCTTACACCCACTTGAGTAGCCCAAGACTTCATTAAGTAGGCCCTAAGTAGCACGGGGGTCCCACAATTATTATCCCTGCAATTTAATACAGACTCTCGCCGTCCCTAAATGATCTTGACTCAAGGATATTTATGAGAAGTGTGCTCGTCTATGTCAAAACTTTCAGGAGCCCTGCTTTGAATTTGGGACCCCTGATGGGAAGTATCACAGGGCTCTCCACCCTGATGCATTTACTTTGATGCACAGTCACCTCACCTGTCTTAGGAGCCTCTGCTTAAACTTGCAAAGTCACTCCACAAACTCAAGCACAGCTTCACTCAGTGTGGCCTGTCCAGGCACAAAAAAAAAAAAAAGCAAGAGGTTGTTGCCGTTATAAAGTTGGAAGCACAACAGCTTACTGAGTCTCGTGCAGAGACATGGACACAAACCTAACAACCCCTTGAGTGGGTGAACATACAACTTGGTTATTACGAGTCAAAGCTTCAGACTTGAGACTTATGTCACGAGGATCAGCACTTGAGACTTGACTTGGACTTGAATGACTTCTAACTTAACCCCCTAAAGACTTGAGATATATTCAAGTCTCAAGTTTTATGTACTAAAAATGTCAAACATAGGCGAATCATCGTTGATTTTGTAAGATGGGAATATTTAATTATGCATAGGCTAATAGATCTATGCACTGAACTACTGTGTCAGACCTGATGATTTTCATGATATTGGTATCTTATATCATTGTTTTTTTTATTTTTGTTGGCCATTTGATTGTGTTATAGAATAATGTTTACTCCTCATGTATTGTACATGTAGAGTGGCAGGTATAATCAATCTATTTTTATTATTTCTGCCTTGGTGTTGACCCTGTGAAGATGAAACAGGTTGCTGTTTTATCGCTTGACTGGAGACTTCAATTGGACTTCAAAACGGCTCGGCGACTGGTCAATTCTTCAGATTTTCAGAAAGTCATGGTATTTCTTGTGGCTACATATTAAAATTTCTTCTGAATTATTCACTGAAATGAGTTTCTGAATAGATCTGAGGTGAGCTTCATCCTTCATCAGCAAAGCCTTTTCTAAACTCGGGCTGACAAGATCTCAGGGTTTTCAGAGGTTGCCTCATCACACGAACCAACCCCTCATAGTTCTCTGATTGCTCTGCCGTTTAACTTCCAGGCTCAGTCGAGTTGAGCTGATGCTCTCAGGGCAAAAAATGTCAAAGCAAAACCTTGAAGCTTGAAAGACTTGGGCTGGTTTTGCTAGGCTCACCTTTCCCGGACAAGTATCAGTTCTCGCTCCTCCGCCATCGATATCCCATGGAAGCTGGACATGGTGACGCACTTTTAGTCACTCTTTCCTTTTCCCGAACACATCTACACACACACATCTAATGACAACAGAACCCACAGCTATGGTCGCCAGCTCAGGAAACAGAGGTTTCCTGTTTTTGAGTCCAAGCTCTATTGTTATCTTAAACAACGTTTTGACAGTGCATGCTCTCTCTCTCACTCTCTCTCTCTCTCCTTCTGTCTAGTTTTCTCAGCCTCTCCGGCTCTTGCTCCACACACTTGAAATATTACACAATAATTATCCACCCAAATCTTGATCCCTATATAGCTCTTTAGTGGCACACATTCTTATCTGGACCTTTCACTCTGTTAATATTGACAAAGCGAGAGAGATAGAGTCAACACAACTCTCCATTACAACCTTTCCTGTTTTATCTATGCCTCTTATCTTTGCTTTCTGGATGGAGTCACACAGTTACTCCTATTTCTGCACTTTAGGATGAAGTATCTCCTCTGCCATCGCTCTGCCTCATGCCAATCCCTCTCACACACTGTCTTCATGCTTTTTATTTATTTAATTTTTTTTTTTTTCTCACTGCCTCTGCCTGCACTGCTTCACTCGCTCCCTGCTGTGGGAACTGAGATGCTGCATGCAGTCTATGGCGCAGTCGAAGGTGTTAGGGGGATTGAAGAAAAGTCTGGATAAGCAACAGCTGGATTTAATGCACCATTAAGGTCATTGGTTGTTCAAGCTGCACCTGCAAATCCCCCGATTTCACCCCCCTGTCTAAACCTCTCTCCCCTGTCTGCTCCCTCCCCACCCTCCTCTCCTCTTTTCTCTGTTGCCCTCTCCTCTTTCGTGCACATATACTCAGTCACCCCTTCTTTTCATTCCTGGTCCTCTCAGCTTTCTCTCTCTTGCCCTGTCAGCTATGAACCCCTCCTCCTCCTCCCTTTTCTGGTTCTTTATCAAAAATAACTGCTGCCACCGCTTCACCCCCGCTCACTCTGGTTCCCTACATCCCTGTCTCCTTTCTTGTCTCACCCTGCATGTCCTTCTCTCTCTCTCTCTCTCTGTCTCTCTCTCTTTCTCTCTCTCTCTTTCTCCATGTCTCTCTCTCATTCTCTCTGTTTCAGTGCCCCTCCTGCTCGCAGGCTGTTGTGTTGTGTCTGCCAGGCCTTCTCGGCTGGAGCACAGGTTTCCTGAATACTGGAACGGAACAGGAGCTGGCAGGGAGATACACTGAGAAAAGCCAGATCGGCTGTTCCCACTGAGTGTCACACACGCTCACAATGCTGCTCATACCGATATGACACGGGCAGGACACAGCACACGCTATCATGTATGTAATACTGCAACATGTCTATCCCACCTGGATTCAGTTTATTCTACTGATACAATGGAGAAACCTGACCTTGACAGTCTGATATGTATCATCTCACATCTTATTAAGTGTAGCAAGTAGGTCCAGGCTATTCTAAGTTGCATTAAAACTAATCAAAAATGATCTTATGATTCCATTCTGAGTATTCTTTTCATTTATTGGAATCCCTACCTTTAAATGTATCACTGTATTCCTAAATAACCACAATTTTGATGATTAATTGATCATTTATCAGGCAGACAATTGCCAAACATTTACTGGTTTCAACTACTCAAATACAAGCATCTGCTACTTTTCTCTATTTTATACCACTGTAAATCAGATGTATGGGTTTTTGTGAAAGTGAAGCTGTAACATTGGACCGCGGGAAATCAGTGCTTTCATTATTCTCTGAGTTGCTATGGATTAAATCATAGAATTATTAGAAGCTTAAATCATACTCCATGTAATTAATAAATGGTGACAGAAACAATGAATTGCAACTCCTGTGCTGGAGCTTCATGTTTAGAAAATCAAATGTTCAAGGCAATAGCATATATCATGGCAGTTTTACAAAACCACAAAGCCATTCACAAGATAAAGCACCCTCAAACTACGATGCAAACTTGGAAAGATAATTGTTGATTCAGGATTTAAAGATTTACTTTTCAGCAAACAGACATAAACCCTTACTATTTTCCAGCCAGCATAAACAGAAGAAACAAGTTTTACCCCTGACGCAGACACACAGATCGTCACTTACACTATTAACACTGGGGCAGACAAACATAAACACCACTGCCCTAAGAATAACTCTCCATTTTTCCCCAAAGAATAATGTTTATTTCTCAGTGGCTCTTTAATGTGTCCCTCTCCTCGGCTAAGTGAATGATGTTTACATCTCCCACTACTCCTGATTTCACTCTGGAGGTCTGTGGCCTCTGCACCTGGACAGTTCACTGCCCTGAATGCACAGACGTGCACCATAGCACCTAAAGAGACATGGAGATCTAACAACTGTGAGCTCTCGGTGGCCCCTAATGAAATTGTTGCTGGATTCCTTGCTTTGGAATAACATTAGTGTTTATAGATAGCTTTCAGCTAGTGCTAATGGTAATCTAATTTTTTAAATGGCTTTTCTAAATTAAGAGGATGACACAGAGAAACAGTTAGAGGTCTGATGTGTGTTAAAAGTCTGACAGGGGCCTCATTGAAACAAATTGTTTTCTTTCGCTCAGCCGACAGGGCATCGGTGCTGTTAATACATCAGACAACATTCTAGTGCAGGGTTTTAATGAAAACCATAGACAGCTACAACATTAAGATTTATTGAGAAGATAAGGAGCCAGAGGAGCTGCATTAATTCATCTTTCTGACCTCTGTCTTCTCACTGCTCTCTTTTGCCTCTCTAAAGGCTGACGACTACAAGAAGACAGGAAACATAGAATAACCTATAATATGGATTTAATAAAACTTACATCATGAATTTCCCCTAGGGAATAAATAAAGTATCTATCTATCTATCTATCTATCTATCTATCTATCTATCTATCTATCTATCAAGGGTGTATTATAAATAACTAAATAAAGTAGCCCATGTAAACAATAATAGCAGCAGTACAAATAAATCAATACATACATAAATGGTATAGTGCAGGGTTTACATATGACCATAATCATCAAAATATGTAAAAACGTAGGCTAAAGTTATGTTCTTTTAGTTTTCTATAGGCTACACCTGAAAGATTCTACTGTCTATTTGAAAATTGAGGTCTATTAAGAATAAATCCTAATGCCTAAATATGAAATTTGAAACTTCGAATAAAACCATTTCTTGTGAATAAAGCATATGGCGAATAGTATGAAAATTACAAAAAAAATAACAAAAAAAATAACAAGAAACCAATAATTCACTTTTTGATGCCGTATTTGTTAGTAACATAAAAAGTAACTACATTTCCCATAAGGCGTTGCGGTTTTCTACGTCATTAACGTGCGCAGGGCTGAGGTGGCGTTTAAGAGGAGGTAAACACATCGGATTATTGCTTGTAAAACTGATTATTGAATGAAATGCCCCTTAAAAGATCGATTAATTTCGTTGAATCCATTACTTAGGTACGACTGTGGTTTTCCCTCCGCCTACCCGATCTTTGTCGTCCTCTTGTGTTGTAGCAGCGTCGCTAACAGGGTGCTGCCTTGCCGTGCTAAAGCTAAGCTAATTGAATGAATCGCTTTAGAACTGTCCGTTTCTGTTTCAGGTTGTTTCCCGGCTGAACTCTGCTAAACTCCCCGCGGCTGCTCTCGTCATGACTAAACTTCTGGAGTGGCTGTTCGGCGTGTCGCTGGTGGGCGCTGTCTGGGCTCTGGTCACTTTCGACCTGTTGGACCTGAGCCTGCCGAAGACGTACAGAGAGGTGGCCTGGCCAATGCCGCTGTACCTGCTGGTGTCATTTGGCTGCTACTCCCTGGCCACCGTGGGATACAGAGTGGCCACATTCAATGACTGTGAGGAGGCAGCTAAAGAGCTGCAGGGGCAGATCAAAGAAGCCAAAGAGGACTTGAGAAAAAAAGGCTTAAAGATGTAAAACCCGACAAGGACTGTGTAGAAACTTTTGAGAGAAATGAAATGGATCCTTGTGATGATGGAGTCACTCAATAACAAAACTGTCTCTTGTGTGAAATGTGTTGGATGAGTTTGAACTGTGAACTGACACCATCTTTACTGATTCCAGCAGGCTTGAACTGAACATCAGTCACAACAGCCCTTCATGCAGCAGTGTTTGTTTTCATGCTGTCTTATTCACTGGCATGTGTTTCAGATTAAATGTTGATCAGATGTGCTTCAGCAAATGATAAATTAATGGCCCAATTGATAATTTTCTGGGTTACCCATAAATGACAACAGATAAGATTTAACTTTGCTAAAAAGAAATGTTCACCATTCTGACTATTTAAAGATCTCAACTGAAGCTAAATTAATTATATTAAGCAATATCACACCCGGTTCAAATCAGTGTGTAGTAGGTGGTTGTATTGATTAGCACATTTTAAACCAGATTAAGGACTCTTAGCAGTGAGCACAGGAGGAGACTACACACAGAGAATACCTCTGAGTTCTTAATGCCAGTATGCTAAATTGTCATCTATAACCAGTTGTGCATCAGTGAACAAATTCAACCCAAAGGCCACATTGGAACAACCTGACTAAAGGGTGTTTCTGCTGGGAATTCTCAGATGCTTTCAATCTGCATCAGCTTCAAAATTGTACCACAGTGTCAACCGTGTTGTGTGTGTCTGGAGATTGTTGCTTGTCAGTATAGATGAGCTAGATTTTATCTGTAAAGTAGTGTACATTCCATTGTCCAATTTCAGACTTGAGCCCTGCGGCTATTGCTTGGACTTAATTAAAATGCAGTCTATTTTCTTCAGGTTTTCTGCCTACAAATGTGTGATTGTGTGTGTATGTCTCTGTGTTTGTGGGTTAGCGAGTCGAGATTGGGCCAGAAGGTATGCGAGTATGTGCACGAGTGCTTGCATATACGATGCATTCCTTCTCCAAGCATAACCCACATGGCCTGAGGGTTTTATATCAGCAGCTCAATGCTTCCCTCTGTGCAAGAGACAGACCTCATTTGTGCCATTTTGTAGTTAACGACATGGATTATACATTATACAGCATTTCCTTCGTTCCAGTCAGAAAATGTAAGTTAAATACGTAGTTCAGAAGTAATCCAATGTTGGCAAGTGCAGGTCTTTTGTGTGAGCCTTAAAAGGCTGCCTATGCTCATTTTCAGTGAGTCCCTGCTGTGCATAAACAAAGCATAGCCTGGCCAGAAGCATCATTATAGGGTTTCAAAAGCTCCTATAACTTCAGAACAAATGCAAAAGAGTTGGCAGTTCTCTGTGCAAGCTCTGCCTCTTGCAACGTCACCCCCCATGAATGTCTGCAAGCTGTTGCTAGAGCAGGCTGGATGAAAGGCAACCTGTTATTTACCAGAAAGTCTTCTACTTTGGCAATTACACCAAAGGCTTCCCTCTGTAGGCAGTTATGCTCTTACACATAGCCACATGTGAAATAGTCGATCACTTTTCTTTGTCAGCATTCTCCTCAAATATAACTTTGAAGACATCCATCTGTTCGTTGTTTTTGTGCAGGCTATCAGACAAAAGTATATATCAGATTAGGCCAAACATCTTAGAGGCCACATACAGTGCATGTTCATGTGAACAGTGCAAGCATTTTTCTGCCTTATTCCTTTAATCCCTTATTTCAAATGTACCCGTACATAAACTTCATCCCAGACATGGCCCATAGCATTTACATAATAGCAAGTCTAAGTGTAATCTGATGCACAGACAGAGATGTGTATGAAAGTTATCCCACCACAAATTACCTCAAACACTCAAGCTTTTTTTTTTTTTTTTTTTTTAAATCTCCATGTATTTCATGCATAGCAAACTTGAGATTACTAACATCACCACTGCTGTTTTTTTGGTGGGTGAGTGGCAGCATTGGTAAGAGAGGATGCACCTGATAGAGTACAGTAACTTGAAACACTGAGCAAAATCCATAATAATGACTGAATAGTAATTTTATATCTCCGCCTGCATACTCTTGTGGCTTAGAGGTGAGAGGTTTGCTCCTCCGGTGAGGAAGCTGCAGAGAGCTGGCTTTGCATTTCAATGGACCTCTTAAAGATTCAGTGTTGTCAACTTTGAGAGCTGTTATTAGGGTGCATCATTTTGGCAGTGCAGCGGTAACACGCCTTGAATTGGTGCATTTCAGCTGCCAGATGATGGGAAAGAATAAAGCTAAAATGAGAGCTGATTATCTTCTGTTGTTGGTTTAAAATTCAGTGACTTCAATAGTCCTGACCTCTTTCTCTTCCTCTTTCTTAGAAAAGGACTTGGATAAAAGTTGTAGGCAGCTGGATGCTTCCTTTTTTAAAATGATATTAAAAGTAGGTTTTAATCTCTAAATTTAGTCACTTTAGTCACTTAACTGTGCTGTAGGTGTACTGTATGTATGGAAGACTATTTCTATCAGAAAAAAATGAACACAAGTAAGTAAAAAATACTCAGGGTGAGTCAGAATTATGAGATACATAGTTAAAATTTTGATTTTAATAAAGTTAAGATGGTCAAGTACTCTTAAATCCACCAGGAACATACTGTATGTTTGCATATATGTTGTTGGCCAACATAATATCTTGCCGGAATATGCCACGTTGCATTGTGGCAAAAGTTGAGTCAGATTCAACCGTTTTGCCAGATTACATGTATTTATTTCAAGGGTGTAGGTTTAGTCTCAACACTGGTAGGGACGCAACAACCCTGCCACCCCTCCAAAACAAAGATATTGTCTTTTTAATGCCATCAACCAAACCATTTATTAACATATAAGATCTGAATTTACATTCAGAAGGATCATATGTCATATAATATTAAGGCATAAAAATGTAAAAGTATAGTAAGGTATAAAAATATCATAGTATAGTAAGGCATAAAAATGTCATAATATAGTAATTCATAAAAAGTCATAATTGTAAGGCATAAAAAGTAATATTATAGTAATGCATAAAAAAGTCATATTATAGTAAGGATTAAAAAGTCATAGTATAGTAAGGGATAAAAAAGTCATAGTATAGTAAGGCATAAAAAGTCATAGCATAGTAAGGCATGAAAAGTCATATTATAGTAAGGCATAAAAATGTCATAGTATAGTAAGGCATAAAAATGTCATAGAATAGTAAGGCATAAAAATGTCATAGTATCATAAGGCGTAAAAAGTTATAGTTTAGTGATGCATAAAAAAGTCATATTATAGTAAGGCATACAAAGTAATATTATAGTAAGGCATAAAAAGTCATAACATAGTAAGGTATAAAAAAGTCACATTATAGTAAGGCCTAAAAATGTCATAGTATGGTAAAGCATAGTAAGGCATAAAAATGTCATAGTATAGTAAGGCATAAAAATGTCATAGAATAGTAAGGCATAAAAATGTCATAGTATCATAAGGCGTAAAAAGTTATAGTTTAGTGATGCATAAAAAAGTCATATTATAGTAAGGCATACAAAGTAATATTATAGTAAGGCATAAAAAGTCATAACATAGTAAGGTATAAAAAAGTCACATTATAGTAAGGCCTAAAAATGTCATAGTATGGTAAAGCATAAAAAGGTCATAGCATAGTAATGCATAAAAATGTCATAGTACAGTAAGGCATAAAAAAGTCATAGTATAGCAAGGCATAAAAAAGTCATAGTATAGCAAAATGTCATAGTATAATAAGGCATAAAAAGTCATGTTATAGTAAGGCATAAAAATGTCATATTATATTAAGGCATAAAAATGTCATAATATAGTAATTCATAAAAAGTCATACTATCATAAGGCATAAAAAGTTATAGTCATTCATAAAAAGTCATAGTATCATAAGGCATAAAAAGTTATAGTAATCCTTAAAAAAGTCATATTACAGTAAGGCATAAAAAAGTCATATTATAGTAAGGCATAAAAATGTCATAGTATAGTAAGGCATAAACAGTCATATTATAGTAAGGCATAAAACAGTCATATTATATTAAGGCATAAAAATGTCATAGTANATAGTATAGTAAGGCATAAAAAGTCATAGTATAGTAAGGCAAAAAAAAGTCATAGTACAGTAAGGCATAAAAACATCATAGTATGGTAAAGCATAAAAAGTCATAATATAGTTAGGTATTAAAAGGTTATAGTATAGTAAGGCATAAAAAGTCATAGTATAGTAAGGCATTAGAAAGTTATAGTATAGTAAGGCATAAAAATGTCATAGTGTAGTAAGGCATAGAAAATCAGTTCTGTAAGGTATAAAAACATCATAGTATAGTAGTGCATAAAAAGTCATAGTATAGTAAGGCATAAAAAAGTCACATTATAGTAATGCATAAAAAGTCATATTATAGTAAGGCATAAAAATGTCATATTATAGTAAGGCAAAAAAAGTCATAGTATAGTAAGGCATGAAAAAGTCATATTATAGTATGGCAAAAAAATGTCATAGTATCATAAGGCATAAAAAGTTATAATTTAGTAATGCATAAAAAAGTCATATTATAGTAAGGCATAAAAAGTAATATTATAGTAAGGCATAAAAACATCATAGTATAGTAGGGCATAAAAAGTCATATTATAGTAAGGCATAAAAAGTCATAGTATAGTAAGGCATTAGAAAGTTATAGTATAGTAAGGCATAAAAACGTTGTGGTATAGTAAGGCATAAAAATGTCATAGTGTAGTAAGGCATAGAAAATCATAGTTCTGTAAGGCATAAAAACATCATAGTATAGTAGTGCATAAAAAGTCATATTATAATAAGGCATAAAAAATCATAGTATAGGAAGGCATAAAAAAGTCATATTATAGTAAGGCATAAAAAGACATAGTATAGTAAGGCATAAAAAAGTCACATTATAGTAATGCATAAAAAGTCATATTATAGTAAGGCATAAAAATGTCATATTATAGTAAGGCATAAAAAGTCATAGTATAGTAAGGCATGAAAAAGTCATATTGTAGTATGGCAAAAAAATGTCATAGTATCATAAGGCATAAAAAGTTATAATTTAGTAATGCATAAAAAAGTCATATTATAGTAAGGCATAAAAAGTAATATTATAGTAAGGCATAAAAACATCATAGTATAGTAGGGCATAAAAAGTCATATTATAGTAAGGCATAAAAAGACATAGTATAGGAAGGCATAAAAAAGTCATATTATAGTAAGGCAAAAAAAGACATAGTATAGGAAGGCATAAAAAAGTCACATTATAGTAACGCATAAAAAGTCATATTATAGTAAGGCAGAAAAATGTTATAGTATAGTAAGGCATAAAAAGTCATAGTATAGTAAGGCAAAAAAAAGTCATATCATATTATGGCAAAAAAATGTCATAGTATCATAAGGCAAAAAAAGTTATAGTTTAGTAATGCATAAAAAAGTCATATTATGGTAAGGCATGAAAAGTAATATTATAGTAAGGCATAAAAAGTCATAGTATAGTAAGGCATAAAAAAGTCATATTATAGTAAGGCATGAAAATGTCATATTATAGTAAGGCATAAAAATGTCATAGTATAGTAAGGCATAAAAATGTCATAATATAGTAATTCATAAAAAGTCATATTATCATAAGGCATAAAAAGTTATAGTATAGTAATGCATACAAAGTCATATTATAGTAAGGCATAAAAAAGTAATTATAGTAAGGCATAAAAATGTCATTGTATAGTAAGGCAAAAAAAGTCATAGTATAGTAAGGCATAAAAAAGTAAATATAGTAAGGCATAAAAAAGTCATATTATTGTAAGGCATTAAAAGTCATAGTATAGTAAGGCATAAAGTCATAGTATAGTAGGGCATAAAAAGTCATAATCTAGTTAGGTA